GCACAATGGCGCCCCCTGTGGTAAAAAAAGAAGTTGTAAAACATGAAACTCTCCCAGCTGCCTGAAATTCAATTGTCATTTTTTTTAAATCAAAAATTAAATAAAAAAGCTCTGGATTCGGATGAAAACGTTGGACCTTCTCCACAGAAAGCAGAAAATTACAAACAAGAACCACATTATTCTTCWGACTGCCTTTTTTCAGTTTGCCTTCTCTGCCATCTGTCTGGTTCACCATTTGAAAAAAAAATACTGCTTTTATCTTCTCAGTGCATGACGAAATAATTAATTAGCTATAACCTCGACTGATCCATAAYCTTTACTGTCTTGCACTAAAAATTGCTGGTCAGCACACAAAACATCTGACACAGTCGAGTCATGTGTGAGGCAGAAAGATCTGGATTTCCCCCACCCCAATTTAACATCTCGCTGTTCTTTTTATTAAACACATTTATTCTATTTATTCCTTATTAAACAGATTTACTCTTGTATTCCTCGAAGGAATGCACATCACCCTCTGCCTTTCATGCCACAGTTTTAAACTATTGTCCTGTGGTGAGAAAGTTTAAAGTATTTCAGGTCAAACCTTGACAAGATCAATGTAATATTGTGAGCTTGGACAAGATGTGTTAGTGTTTGTAATGAGTTGTAGATTTATGTCCAGTGATGACTTTAAGATTTTCATTAAAATCTGTCCAGTAGTTCATGAGATATGTTGCTAAAATTGCATTCAAACTAACAACCACATTCACACTGACATACATTTTCACCGTTTTGCCTTCTGTGGCAGAAAAAAAACGAAAAACAAAAAAAGAATATTGCTTCAGCACCAAAATAAACCCTATTTTGTATATTTTGCACATGCTTTTGCTACTTACACAGAGCAGCCATCTCTTTGGGAAGGTCCGCTCCGAAGCGACCAAACAGGTGGCTGCTGGCCAGCAGGTCAAAGGGGGAGTGGCTCCTCATAGAGTTAAAGGCGAAGGGGTACATGGCACGGGCGAATCCCGTCATGTGACGCATTTGGTGCTCTCTGTTTGTTGCCATCACGACGCTGGATATTTAACCGACTTCTCTCTGGGTTTCCTTCTTCTTCTTCTTCTTCTTCTTCCTCGTCCTGCTTCTTTGTCAGAGTCTGACAGTGAGTGTGGACCAGTGTTGTGCCATCCAGCACCGTCCTGCTCCTCTTCTGTTGGACCACACAGAAGAAAAGGCAATATGAGGAAGAGACCTGCAGAGAACCCAGAAGAAATGTCCTGTCCACGTCAAGACTGCAAGAAAAAAAAAGGGACAAGAAAACAAAATGTTACATTCTGGATTCAAATCATCTCAACAGGACTGTAGGACTTGTTTTAAATAGCAGTGCAGATCTCTTGAAATAGAGATCTGTGGGAAGGCAATGATCAATTAATATCTTACCTGTTGTAGATGGCTCTTCAAACGCCCTCAATTTAGACTGACCTTTGTATAACTCAGATTAGCCATTAGCTTGTTAATCCGGTAAAAATTAAACTCAAATTTTACAATATGAGATTGTTCAAAGAGTCATCTAAACCAGGTAAGATCTTGACCTTTCATAGGCCTTCCACAAAAACCCATTTCAAAAGATCTGCACCGTGAAACAAAGATAAAAAACAAAAAAGCGTTGACAAAATTGATTAGCTGAGCGGGAACAGCGAGGGCAATATTCTGTTGCTTTTTGTCCGTCTCCCAAGTAGTGCAGTAATTTCATGCGATGCCATATGATTTCAATCAGCAGAAGAGTATCATAAAGGGTCTCTCTGTTCTCTCTGCCAGCCGACCCACAAACAGCTCCAGCCACAACATGGGCAGTGTTAACCCTTTATGAAAACTAACAGTCAGAACACTATCACGCTCCACCAAATATCACTTTGAAGGCTATTCACTGACCAGAGTGACTGCAGCTTTTAACCCTGTCAAAAAAAAGCTCCAAGTGTAGCACTTCCTTCATCTTTCTTCCATAACTCCTGCCCCCCCCTCCTTAGTGAATTTATGAGTGGGTGGAGTTGAGCCCTCTGTGATGAATCTGTGGTAAATACAGCTCAGCCAAAGAATGCCTTGTTGTTCGGAGCCTGCTACAGCATGGGAATCAAACACCCAGGGTGGGTAACAGACAGTGTGTTTACAAATGTCCTACATTCAACTACTATGACTAATACTCCAAATAAACAACCTCATTCTGCTGAATAAAATTAGAAAAGGCACATTTTGTTTTAAAGGAACCCACTGTATTATTTTTCATGTTTTTAAACTGAAAACAAACATTTATTACTTCATAACAAGGATTAAAATATTAAAGTATATAATGAAATGCCCAGAACTACTTAAAAACTGGCTAATATTGATTAGCTGTAATGGGCAACTTGAACTGGGTGGACTCCAAAAGGTAATTAGTTGTTCAGACAATAATGAGTTTCTTGGGGTTTTAATAAAATTGCTCCACGGGATGTTTTTCTGATGCTACAGACAAATGAACACGTACAAATACGCGGTATTTGAATAATTCCTGCTGTTTGCTGTCAGCGGTAGGTGATGATGAAWATGATGGGGCTCAAATAAAACCAAATCCCAGTTCATCCTATAGACCAGAGGGGTCCAATCCTGGTCCTCGAGGGCCACTATCCTGTATGTTTTAATTGTTTCTCTGCTCCAACACAACATATTCAGTGACTGAACCACYTCTTTAAGTTCTGTAGAAACAGATTAATCACTCATTCTTTCAAACCAGGTGAGCTGCAGCAGAGAAGCCTCTAAAACATGCAGGATGGTGATTGGACACCTCTGCTGCAGACTTAGCCCCACCTCTATATTGTTGTGGAGGTATCCCATCTTTTAATGAAGCAGGATTAGGGTAAAAGCATAAAACAAACTGGGTCATTTTTAGGAGGCACACTTATAAAAGAGAAATAAAAAAGGATTTTAGCCACATTACCCCACAAAAATACGCTAATATAAATWATAAATATTTTATTTTCAAAAAATCTACTAGAGAAAACTGAACTTCAAYCTTAAATCTTATTCAATTTAAGTTCTCAACACCTATTTTCACACAAAAATTTAGCCAAGTTGGTGCAGTATTAGATTCAGACAGAACGYCACATCTTTAGCTGAGTCATGAAATTTTCTGCTGAGTAGACACAGGACGGTTTCTGGTTTCAAGAWATACCTGAGTGTTAAAATGATATTGTATCAGTAAACTTTTACAGTCAATCTGATTCAAGATGGCTACTCAGCTAATCGACTGTAGCAGAGGTGCCCAAAGTGGAGTCCTGATCTTCACTCATGGTCTTTAATATATCTTTGAATTATATTGAGACTAAGGATGAAACACAAGTTACTACTAAATACAATTAGATTAGATTTAAGTGCACGTGCAGATTTTATTATATATATATTTTATATATTTTATCAATTAATGAAATGTCCCATGAGCCTTTGCTGCACGAACTAAAAGAACAAACATACAAACACACACACAAAAAAAAACATGGGTCACCGAACTGGCTGCTAGCTTAATCATACAAAATAAAAGGACTTTTCTGAACAAGTATTTTCATTTCATGTATTATGGTGTTGCAATTGGCCTGCAGCCCTCAGATAGRTTTTCATTTTGGCCCTCTCGGGGAAAACGTTTGGGCACCCCTGGACTATAGCAAACGTAAAAAAAGGCTACAGCTCAGTTACTTTTACAGACACGGAGCTAAAACTTGGTGCGGTAACAGTTGAAAGTAACCTCAACACAAGCTCTGAGGGCTAACRTTACGCAAAATCTGCACTATATCAAACAAGATCAGACGAAATGTTATTTTTATTAAATTTGACCAAAACAGGACCAGACTGTGGAATGATTCTTTGTGTTTAAAGCTTTGGCTAAGCTTCCATTTGCAAAAAACAATATATTAGGTAACGGTTTAAGTTTACACCATGTCACCTCTTGATTAAAGTCCATGAGAAACTATTCTTCACTGATGACCCACAATTAGACTTTCAGAAATAAAAGCTGTTATATTATGAGAACAAAATGGACAAAGGTTTTCCTAATCTTCTTTACCTTCCCTGTTACCCTTCCCCCCACACATACAGCACAAGAAAAGCAAAGAAAGCCACAGAGTCAGCTCAGTTAGTGTTGTTTTTAAAGTCATATTTCCCATATTGACTGATGTTTCTGTAGCTGCTGCGGTTTCTCCTCTCTGCAAGGGCCCGGCGGGGAGAGTCCCTACCATCGCTTCCACAAAGACCCGCAGCGTTTGCCGACTGGACAGCACCGAACGCAGGTCGTCTGAAAGCAAGTCGTTACTTCAAACACCGTTACATACATCGCCACGTTCTGTAAATCACATGTCCGTGCATGAGTCTCTTAGAGCAGAACGCCAGACACAAACAAGAAGGAACATGCGCGCAGATGTTCTGCAACTTTGTTCGAGTCATCGGTGGAAAACACACGGCGTTCACACACTCTGAAGCACCATTGACGGCGGCAATTGACCTTGAAGAATGAAGTAGTAAATACAGGACGGAGGATCCAACCACAGATGCGGAACCCTCATGATTTCTCCTTAGCCAATCGAAGCCAAAGAGCGCAATCGGTGGTATGAAAACCAGATGTATAAAAGAATTTAGATGAAGAACAAAAAAACAATGTGTTGAAAGCTGAGGAAAAGATGTAAGGGGCAGAAGGAAACAAAGGAAAAAAGGAGAGAAGAGGGAGTTTTAAACATCTGGTGGGCCGCGTGTGAGAAGTGAATGGAGCAGAATTAATTAAAACCAGACTGGAAACTGGATTAATAGGAGCTGATTGTGTTTTAACAGTGTGAACAGGAGGGGGAGAAGGTGGCCCTGAATACAAAAAAAAGAAAAAACAGAAACAATTTTACTTCCACTAATAAAATAATCTGCTGCCAAGCCAAGGAATGGTTTCTGTCTTTATAATGAGTACCCCCACACCACATTTTCCCTCCAAGGGAAGTACACCTTGGGCCGGGCAACAAAAGCAGCGCTGTGTATCTGGGCCTCCAGGCCTCAACGCTGCTTTTATGAGACCTTGCCGGGTCAGGTCAAACTGGGTCACCTGGTCCCCATACTGCTGACGAACACACACAAAACTATTTTTTGACTGTCGTTAAAACCATACTGAGCATAAAAATGTTTTTTTTTTTTAACCCCGGAGTCATTTACTCATTTTTTACTGACATTTTTTTCAGGGCCTCCAAACTTGGTTGCACAGTCAGCACACTGGTTCATGCAGTTTAGTTGAAAACGTACTGAATCACAAGGTTTTAGTCTGAAGCATTATCTGGATCTAGTTATGCCGGGTGTAAATGTGACTAAATTTATTGCTTTTTAAACTCAAATCAGCTTGAAAGTCAWGGTTATAAAATGACACAAAAAGAAAAACTGTTTTCTGAGAATCTCTCTGCACCAATTGGGTCTTTTTTTTTAAACCAAATGTGTTCATCAGCAGCCGTTCAGCAGACTTCTTAAAGGCAAATTTTTAAACTCTATGATAATTTTTCTTTTCAGTTCCTTTTGACAGGATTAAGTAATTTTTATATCGTTGAGCTGAACAAACTGAACTACAGAGTGAAGATGTGTGCATACATGGATTGAGCGCATTTGAATTTTAACCAAACTTTAGTCTGTATAAAAGTCCTGGATAAACGTTTGTAGATGGGGTTGCATTCCTTTTACAGTTTAGCTGAATGTTGCTCTGTAATCTTAGCGCAGTCCAAAAATGACACGCTTTTGTTGACCGAACAACAGGAAAGAGTTTTAAAATATTGCTATATTATTTCTTGTAGGTCTAGTTTGATTAAACTCAACCCGTCTTCCAGATATTGACCTAAAACTCGACGTGAAGGCAGCAGAGACTGGTCCAAAGATCCTTCTTTAAAAATCTGGAGTCATCTCTGTCTGCTAGAAAAATATCTCATGAAATTCCCAACAAGTTCTGATGAAACTTTCAAAAAGCAATTGTTGGATTTACATCCAAAACTGATTAACCTTTGGTGCCAATGCAATCCAAGATGGCCATAGACCAGGGCTTTCCAACTAAAGTTGACCTTTTACATTTGTTTATTTTGCTGAATTGATCTTAATTTTAAAATTAATTTAAGATTTATTTTTATATGTAGTGCTGATTTTTTTTTAAATTTATTATTATTATTTTTTAAAGAACTCAGTGAGCCGGAATGAAGTCACCTGAAGGCCGGATGTGGCCCATGAGTCGCCAGTTGAATAGCTGTGCCATACC